TTAAAATTATATTTGTAAGATGTATCCATGCTGACCTGTAACTGCTTTTTACTGCCATATAGTACAGTAATCTTTCTCTGGATATTCCACGATGTATCCATTCTCCTCTCCAAGGGCTTTTAGGTTCCAAATTTTTTTTGCTTATAAAGTATCCCATGATCATTCTCATACATGTTTTCTTGTATACGTATATATGACCGGAGTTCTCCAGGGCAGAAACTTGGAAGTGGAATTATTTGGTAGAATGCTAATTTCCTGTTCTACCAGCAGTGTGAGAGTTCCCCAATCTTAGGTATCTCTGCATAAACCTTTTTGCAGTCCTGTGGGTATGAAACAGTATTTCTTAAGAGCAACAACAAAGAGGGCCACCTGGGTTGAGTGGCCTACTCTTGATTTTGGCTCAGGTCATGATCTCAGGGTCGTTGGATAGAGCCCCGTGCATTGGGCTCTGTGCTGAGCATGGAGCCTGCTTGGGATCCTCTCTCTCTCTACCTCTGCCCCTTTCCCTGCCTTGTGTTTGCTTGTGCACACGCCATGTGTGTGCTCTCTCCCTCTCTCTAAAATAAAATAGTAAAAAAAGCCAACACAGAAGTGAAGACTTGTGTTACAGGATATTTGAAACATACAAAAGGAGAGTGATTAGTGCAGTGAGCCTCTGTGTGTTTCGTCATCCTGATCACACACGGCCCATCTTGCTTCATCTACACCCACCCTCCCTCTCCCTCCCAGTGTTCTAAAGGAATCTGAGATGTCACGCTGTCTTGCCTGCAGATACTCCTGCGTCTCTAGCACGTAACTCTTTCATACATAGCCTCGGTATCGTTATTCCACTAAAAACTAACAATAATCCCTTAATGTTATTAAACATTAGAGTTTCAGTTCCTCCAGCTGTCTTGTAATACAGGTATTTTTACATTTGTGTCTTCAAGTCAGAATCTGAATAAGGTCTGTACATTATAATTGATCTCAGTCTACAGATTCCCTCCATTCTCCCTTATGACATCTACCTTGCGATGTTAGCAGTCACTTATACTTATTGCCTAGAAAATCTGCTACTTCATCAGGAGTGGCAAAGTGGTGTGTTTCTGTCATTTCTTTTTTATTTGTTGGTTTATTAGCAGGATACCTCTGTAAAGAGAGATTTCTTCTCTTTAAATAGTTGGTCATCTTACAATACTGTTAGTAAAGAAAGGATAAAGTTTCTTTTCACTCACCAGCTTTTAAAACAATTGCTTAGTCACCAATATCCTCTCAAGGTGATCACTAAGTGAGCTTGTTTTAGTTATCTTTGTGAACTCATGGGCTTAAACATATTTGGTGATTTGGTGTGTTTCAACCTATTATGGTAATTATTCTTATTGGTTGCTCAACTTTGGCCAGTGGGAACCTCTTTAAGTTGGCTCCTGAGTTATTTTGACACCATCCTAGTAGTCTTTGCTAGTTTTACTGCTGCCTGGTGTGATGAGATATTTCAGGTTTCTTTTGTACTCTTCCTGCTCCAGACCTGGAATCAGCCATTTCTCTAAGGAGTGCTGGTTACGTAGCTACCATCTGCATAGCACACACATTGATGTTTCCAGCTCATTGTAACATTGTTTACATAGATAGTTTAGGCAGGCTGAGCTATTCTTATCAAGGAATGGTGGGAACCCTCCTGGAATTTAAATTCCTAGATGCCAACCTGGGCCCACCTTGCAAGCAAGTCGTCTTTAATGACGGTAGTCTCAGGCCTTACTGTGTTACCTCTTTTCTGCACAGCTGACTATTAGACATTTTGTGTGGTGGGGAGTACGTAGAAAGTGGGTTGAAGAGTCAGGAGTTCAGAGGAAAGGTTGTGATGGAGGTAAACTTGTGATAGTCATTCGTGTATAGAAGGTATTCAGAGCCTGAGGCTGAGTGAAGTCACTTCAAGAGTGAGCACAGAGAGAGATCCAAGGACAGGCCCCTGAGCAAGAAGTTTGGCAATGAGGAGGAGCTAGCAGGGGAGACCAAGAAGGAGCAACTGCTGAAATAGAATGAAGTGGAGTGGGAACCAAGAGAATGTAGTATCCCTAAAGCCAAATTAATAGAGTGTTCAAGAAGGAAGGCATGGTCAGCAGTGTCAAATGCTGCTGATGGGCTGAGTGAGCTGAAGATAGAGAGTTGACTCATCATGGCAATGTGGAGGTTATTGGGGGCCTCGAAATGTGCTGTTTTAGTGGAGTGGTTTGGACCAAAGCTTGAGAGGAGTGGGTTTAAGAGAGAACGAGAGAAGAGGGAGTATAGACAATTCTCTCAAGGAATGTTGCTGAAGAAGGGAGCAGAATGGTGCAACAGTTGGAGCGGCAAAGAAGGTGAGGAATAACAACATGAGAAGGAATGGTAGCATGTTTCTATGTGGATGGAGATGCTCCAGTACGGAGCAAAAAAATAACGTAGGAGCGAAGGGGAGAATTATTGGAACCTGAGGAAGCACAAGGGAATAAGATCTAATGTCTAAGTGAGGAAGAGATGGCCTGGCATCGAAGCATGGACGGTCCATCCATAGTAACAGGAAGGTGGGCACAGTATATAATATGACAGGGGTGGGTTGGTAGGAATGTTGTTGAGAGCTTGTAAATGGAGATGGTGGTAGCATGGTCACCAGCTGTACTTGAGGACTGGGGAAGAGATTCTGGAGACTTAGAGAATGAAGAGGTATGAAAGAGCTCCTTAGTGAGTGAGCAGATAGGGAAAGATAGATTCCTAGGTACCACCTGGAAGTTAGTGCTAATGAACTTAAAATGAGACTAGTTTTCAGATGAAGGTGTAATTTTTTTTTTCCTAGTTACTTCTAGCCCATGGGCTATAGGTGCAGAGTAGGTGGTGATTCAACCAGTGTTTGAGTTCAGCTGGGCAAATATCTTAGTGAGGAGAGCAGTAGAATTAGCGATGTGTGCTAGGGAGTGATTATAATAATGGACCATAGCAGCTGAGCTGGTTAAGGAGGGAAGTGAAGAAATGAAGCTGTAAAAATGTGGTATGTATGATCAGTTGTAGATCCCGCACGTTCAGAAAGTTGTTGGAGTTGTGCATTTAGAGGGAGTGAGTAGGAAGATGGGAGAAGCTAGTTAGAGAGTTGAATGTTTAAAATTGAGTTTAGGGAAGGGTGTGCAGTTATTGATAATGGGAGGGTACATGACTATACAAATGGATAACTGGGGTAAGGTGGAGAATACAGTCAATGGAGGAGAAGAGGTCAAGGAGCCGAGAGGCCAGGGATCATCCACACTGATATTGAAATCATAAGAATTATAATTGGATAAATTATTAGATTTGGAAAAGGTGACAATGAGTGAATCTTCAAGGATAAGAGTGACAGGAGATTATAGTTGTCATTTCTTGATGGTTCCTCCTTCCTATATACTTCCATACTTCTATATGGACTTTTCACGATTTGAAAACTTTTCTTTTTACAAAGGACCCTATACTCTAATCAAAAGTCCTTAGTCATACCATGGTTTTTCATAACTCTGCCTGTTACTGATGCTGTTTCCTTTGTTTAAGTGCTCTTAGCCACAATGCTTGCTTTCCGTAGCTGTGTTCTTCCCTGGCTGATGGTCGTTTCCTGTTTATAGTCTATAGTATCCATTACATTATTTTGAGAATGTTAGTTTACACTCACTATTTTTCCCTCCTTTTTGTTTTTGTTTTTTAATTTTATTTTAACTTTTTTATTTTAGAGAAAGAGAGTGTGTGAGTGGGGGAGAGGGGCAGAGGGAGAGAGAGAATCTCAAGAATCTCTACACTGAGTGTGGAGCCTGACATGGGCCAGTCCCACGACCCTGGGATCATGACCTGAGCTGAAATCAAGAGTTGAACCCTCAGTCACTCAACCTACTACTAGGCCACCCAGGCACCCCTCTGTTTTGTTTTTTTAAAACCAGGCTGACAGTTCCCTTAGGTCAAGAGCCTTATCTATCTTTTTGTCCCTGGAGCACTGTGAAAGAGTTCTCAACAAACTCCAGGACTGGATCTCTTTTTTTTTTTTTTTTTTTTAATTTTTTTTTTTAACGTTTATTTATTTTTGGGACAGAGAGAGACAGAGCATGAACGGGGGAGGGGCAGAGAGAGAGGGAGACACAGAATCGGAAACAGGCTCCAGGCTCTGAGCCATCAGCCCAGAGCCTGACGCGGGGCTCGAACTCACGGACCGCGAGATCGTGACCTGGCTGAAGTCGGACGCTTAACTGACTGCGCCACCCAGGAGCCCCGGACTGGATCTCTTTAATAAGTTCCTTTTGAAAGTCAGTTATGATCAAGTAAATCATGGTACAATTCTTCATTTTTACCTTAATGAATAAGATGCTTTCGTAGATGTACTTATATCAGGTGCCACAGTTAATGAAAAAAGTTTAAATTATAACGAGTTTCTTTTATCCATGTATTACAAAATGACTACTCTTAATTCTTTGTATTTCAGAGAAGATTTAAAAATACAGAAGTAATTATTATGCTAACAGATTGGAGTGAGCATAGATGACAGTCACTTCTACATCTTGAAGAGGGCCTCAAGCCTCAGTTTTTTTAATTTTCTCTTGCTTCCCGTTTGAACCTTCTATTTTGGTCTTGGGAACTGAGTTCACAGTTGAAGGAAGGAGGCCCCAAAGTTACTGAGATAGTCTATGGAGTAAAGAAAACAGGAAATTTAAAGGTGACTGTAGTACAATTAAACCAATGCTTTGTTTTTCCTTCTCTACTAACTTGTTATTTAAATGTAATTAAACACCATTTGATGTCAGTGTACTTAGCTTTATTTTTTTTGTAGTCTTTTTTTAAGTATCCCTTTTAATGTATTAAAGAGTCTTCATGTGAGGATATTTTCTGGCTATTTTGATTTCCCTTTATGATTTCTTGTATATTTATGCCTTTCGTAATTTAATGGAATACCAAAATAAACAACCTTTATTATGTTTTTGATGGCATATAATAAGTTAATATATAAAAAATCTGACAAAATACTCATTTAAATTTTTTTTCAGAAACTATGAGTGGAGGATCTCAAGTCCACATTTTTTGGGGTGCCCCAGGTGGTCCACTGAACATGACAATGTCACAGGAGCGAACTTCTTTAATATCCGATGATGACCCCTGGAAAAAAATTAAACTTTTATACAATCACCGTTCTTTACATCCAGGGGATGAAAAAGGCATGCACGAAACTCTTGAAGACTATCAAATCCTAGAAGCTGTTGGCCCTCCAGATCTCCCTCGTGGTCATTTTTTAACAAAGGCGATGAATGAACCTGTTCATGTGAAAGAAGACTTTACACATTGTATTTCTGAAACGGAGACTGGAAAATCCCAGAAGAGTCACCTCTTAGGGGTGAGTGATATAACTAGTTCTGATGTGCAAATACGTGAACTTAAGGGCAGAGTTCAGCATTTAACTGAAGGAGAAAAGTATCCAAAGCTTTTCGGTGACAACAAGAAAATCACAGATGAACAGCACGAAGATCAGTCAAATACATGTGGTCAAAACTTTCAAAAAAATGTCTTTCAGTTAGATCATAAGCATGCCGCTGCACTGGATTTGGTCTGTGGTACAGAACACATTCATACAGGGCCGGGAGCTGTTGAAACAGAATGTGTGCCAACCGGACATTATGAGGGACAAAACCAGTGTCTAGGGTTCTTTTCCTTGAAGACGGAAGATAAGCCAAGGTCTGAACCTGTTAGAAGGGTCTCAGACCTTAAAATATCTACTGATACTGAATTTCTTAGTATAATGACTGCCAGCCAGGTTGTTCTTTTATCTCAGAGGAGGTATAAAGGACAAAATTCTAGAAATAAAGGGCCCACAAGTGTGGAGATTGAACCAAAGGCAAGTCATGGGGAAATAAGGATAACTGAAGATAATTTGATTCAGCCTAATAATGATTTTGCAGGAGATGAAAGTGGACAAAACCAAGCACATTCCCTTGAACTCTTCAGTCCTATTTGTCCTGAAACAAAAAGTGGTGACACTCACGTGAAGCCTGGTAAAGGTCTTGAAGAAAATATAAGATCTCAGGAACTTTTCAATTTTGAAGACAAAGTGCCCCCCAGTGATGTATGTATTGAGTCCTATTGCTCAGGAATCCTGTGTTCCCAACTAAATACCTTCCACAAAAGTTCTACTAAAAGAGGTTGGACCTCTGAAGATAAATTGGGCCATTCCAAAGCTCTGTCTAAAGCCTTCCAACCATCCAAGAAAATTAAGTTGGTTTCTGATGCAAGAGATCCTACTGCAGCAGTGGGCCAGAGGCATGTGTCTAGTTTTAAGGGGATTAAAAAGACATCATTAATAAAAAATTGTGATTCTAAAGGTCGGAAGTATAATTGTTTAGTCATGGTATTATCTCCATGTCATGTGAAAGAAATAAATATAAAATCTGGGCCAAATTCTGGCTCTCAAGTGCCTTTAGCAACGATTGTGGTAACTGACCAATCAGAAATTAAGAAGAAGGTCGTTCTGTGGAGGACTGCAGCATTTTGGGCACTTACAGTGTTTCTTGGAGATATAATTTTGCTCACAGGTAAGGTCATCATGGGATAGTGGTAGCTTAAAGCTGTAGGCTTTTCTGCACTCCCACATTTACCCCGCCTTTTTACCGTTTGCCTCTGTGGGAGCCAGCGTGGTCCAGCCCCTTCCAGCATCTGCTTTGGTCTCCTAACCATTGCCCTGTATCCTGTGCTTTGCTGTATCTGGGCCTGTGCTCTAGTCTGCTTTGTTCTGAACCTCCCTTCCACTCCTCTTTTACGAAGCCTTCCCTGGTCGCACCCTTCCTTCATTCGCTCTGTTAGCAATCAGGTCATATCATCAGGCTTGCTCTTTGTTTTCTTATGGCTTTGTCTACGTGTGTCTTATTTTTAAGCTTTTTCTTTATATTAGCAGTCTTATGAAAGGACAGTGTTTCTACTCCTTACTCCCTGATAATGCTGTGCACATTGCATTCTTAGTGAGGGATCAGAGACAGATTTTCTGTTGTGTTTTTAATTACTAAAATTGTATTAATCACATTTGGAAATGTGGAAAGGAAGACCTTTTGATAGTAAACCAGCCTCATGTCACCACCGGTAATGTTTCGGAGAGTTACCGTCCCGTTGTTCTCCCTGTGCTCCTTAGAATGTGTATACGTACGCAGAGGATGGTTGATGTTTATTGGGAACTTATTTTGTGTTTTAAACTTTGCATGTATGTCAACTCATTACAACAACTGTATGAAAAAGGTATGGATTATTATCCCCATTTTTTACTTTGAGGAAACTGAGACCCAGAAAAGTAAAGCCACTTACCCAGTTTCACACATCTAGGAAGTGGCAAAGCCGGGATTTCACCTAGACTCTGGAACCCATACTCTTACTATATACTTGTAATCATTAAGAACATTCTTTTTTTTTTTTTTTAATATAACTTATTGTCAAATTGGCTAACATACAGTGTGTACAGTGTGCTCTTGGTTTTGGGGGTAGATTCTCATGATTCATCGCTTACATACAACATCCAGTGCTCATCCCAACAGGTGCCCTCCCCTCCTCCCCCGCCATCAACCCTCAGTTTGTCCTCTGTATTTAAGAGTCTCTTAGGGTTTGCCTCCCTCCCTCTCTGTTTGTAGCTATTTTTTCCCCCTCTTCCCTTCCCCTCCAGTCTTCTGTTAAGTTCCTCAAGTTCCACATATGAGTGAAAATATATGATATCTGTCTTTCTCTGACTAACTTATTTCACTTAGCATAATACCTTCCAAGGAATGGTTTTTACCTTGCTTCTTTTTCTGACATAAGAAATCTAACATTGTGTTACAGGTTCTTCATTAATTGAAAATAAATACACATTGTATTAGACCAGAGATACCAGTCATTTTAAGGATGAGTCCCAGACTGGGAGGAAACTGATTAAGCTCAATAACGTGTCTAAAGAAAGAATGTGGTAGAGAAGAAGAGTGGGTGAGCCTTAGAAGCTTGGAAAAAGAAAACATGAAGGCAATCATTAGTGGTTCCCACCTAATGGCTTGCTGGGGGAATGAGAGCCTTGGCTATTGTACATTAGGTGCATCAGGCTGTACATCAGGTGCAGCCTCTAATAAGGAGATAAACGTGGGCTATAACCCGTAGGCCCAGCACGGTCCCGTCCCACTGGCAATGTCATCTTATTTGTTGGCAAGGCGGTTCATCCAGCTCCCTCTGTTCTGATTCAGTGCTCACTGAGCTGCCCTTTGCTTACGATCTGGCTTCCCAGGTGTGAAACTGCCTACAAGGTGAGAATTGGCTGCCAATGTTGTTTCTGTGGCAATTAATGCCTCAGTGAAAATTTAAAAAAAAAAAATTGTGTTCTAGTTTTTTTTGTTTGTCTCATGAACCTGTTTAATGTGAGCTTATGTTGCAGAGCTGAAATCTATTTTGGGGATGCTGACAAAATCAGATTCCCCAGACTATAAAGAGAGAGCTGAGCCCTGGACTGGTTATTTTACCAAGGCAATTACTGTCACTGTGTGGGCCCCATAGGAGGACTTTTCCTGGCAGATGGAAACTCAGACCTGCCATCTCTGTGTTTTCCCCTAGTGTCCATACAGTTGTTAGCAACTAGGTAACTTCCTGTTAAGTGACTTTACCGCTTTACTTAGCCATTTTCTCATTATAGGATATTTAGATGATTTCTATCAGCACCTTTAAAAATAATATCAGGGTTTTTTTTTCCCCCTCTTTTACCTTATTTCCTTAGTAAAGTAATCTAGTTCACCAATTTCTGAATAAGTTTCTTTTGTTTGTGCGGACAGATGGAAACTTCATGGAAAACGGAGAAACCTATACTTTCCTAATTAGGTAGTAAAATTATATTTACATAGAAATTTGTAGGTAAAATCCTATTTTAATTAACAGCATCCAATTGTACATTATTATATCTCTATGTTGGATATCTCATACTATCTACTGATATACACCCCAAAACTGAAAATTTTCCCACAGCAGATGTATTCTAGATCACGTTCCATTCAGTAACACAGTTGACCTTTTGCTGTTAGACTTTCAGCAATAGAATGAAGAGATGCTGTAAGTAAGGATGGTCTACGGGAGACTGCTGACCAGAATTCAAAGAGGACCTTGGGCCCTATCTGTGGGAAACCACAGATTTTTTTTTAATTTTTAAAAAAAAAAATTTTTTTTTTCAACATTTATTTATTTTTGGGACAGAGAGAGACAGAGCATGAATGGGGGAGGGGCAGAGAGAGAGGGAGACACAGAATCGGAAACAGGCTCCAGGCTCTGAGCCATCAGCCCAGAGCCTGACGCGGGGCTCAAACTCACGGACCGCGAGATAGTGACCTGGCTGAAGTCGGACGCTTAACCGACTGCACCACCCAGGCGCCCCAAGAAACCACAGATTTTTAAGAACAAATAGGAGAGGCTCTAGGGCATATAAGTGAGAGGGAATCAGGACAGCCAGGAGGCAAGGGCTGGGCCATTGATTCTACTCCACCCTGTCACCAGTGATTAGCAAGTCACTAACCCAACATAGGTTTTACAACCTAGTTTTCCAAAGCCTGTCCTTGAAATTTCTTACTTGTTCCTTCCTGAAGAGCAGGCATCCTGATGGTCAGATTATGAAGAGTCTAAAATGCTGTCCTAGCTATTTCTGAGCAGGCAGAGGGGAGCTGAGTGTTTTTTAAACTAGTTAATGGATCACATTAATGTTCGTGAAAAATTACTCATTGGCCCTGGGGGACATGGATTGGAGGTGGGAAGGGGACCTACCAGGAGAGAAAGGAATGCACGATATAAAATAGCACTGTCAAGGGCCGGCGGGGAGACTCAGGGGGCAGTGTTCAGCAGGTGGGGGTTTGGAGACAGAAGGTGGGGAGGGAGAGGTAGACGTTCAGGATGACTTCACATTTTAATTTACCTGGCTAGCTCCACAGTGCCAACAAATGAGATGGGTAATGTGAGAAGAAAAGCAGGTTTGAGCAATTTTTGAATTTGGAGAGCCAATAGAATATCCAGTCAGGAATGTCCGTGAGGCAGTTGTGGATAAATGGGTAAGTGGGTTTGAAGCTGGGGAAAGTGTCTGGCTGTAAATTTGGAAGTGACTACTTGGAATGTGTGCATCCTTGTTTTTCTTCCTTATTATCTCAAAAATTGGCTACTATTAGGATATCTTTATACCTCTAGCATTTTATGCACTGTTTATATTCTTTTATGCACTGTTTATATTCTTCCAGAGATTGATATGTCTCTGTCTCTAACTTACAGTTTTGCTCTACTTGAAATTGTTTCTACCTGTTGGTATATTTAGTATATTTATTTACTCTGTTAGACACTACTGTTTTGGAACCATTACTTTGCTTCCTGCCCCTAAATGATTTCCTTTTAATTTCTCAAAATAGACACTATAACATTTTTTTTTTTACATGAACAAAAGCCATTAAACCATTCTTTGTGGAGCAGTGAGCTTCCATATTGATAGTGTTTGAATATACAGAAGTAATTCTGTTGTTGCTATTTTATCATTTTGTGGCTTTAGGCAGATGATTTAACCCACTTGAACTTTAGTTGCCTGGCCTGTGAGAGATGTTAATAATATTTTGCTATGATTGGCAAGTTAACCACAGTGTGAAGGAATTTATGACATGATCAGAACTTTTGTTTCCCCCTGTCTAGATGTTACTGTTCATGAAGATCATTGGGTTGGTGAGACAGTACTACAATCAACTTTTACCAGTCAGTTATTAAATCTTGGGAGTTACCCGTCTGTCCAGTCTGAAGAATGTAAGACACGTTTTAAATGTAATCATTTCTTAGTATTCAAAAGTATATATACATATTAGAAAAAAAAGTTAAAATAGTAATTTTACGAAATGTTTTCTAAACAGGTTAGCTGGACAGTATTGGTTTATTTTCTTTAGTAAGACTGAAAATAGAATTTATAAAAATAAAGTTGTACGTTGTAAATCATATTTGTTTTAAGAAATATTGGGGTTCAGTTTCCATTTTCTTACTTTTCTTAGAGTTTCCACATAGCGGTAGTTCTTAACCTTTTAGGGAGTCCTAGCTCTCTTAGAGAAGCTATGTGCCCTTTCTCCAGAAAAATAGACTTAGGTAGATAGACACAGAATTTTGCACATAACTCCAAATGGTTCCCTGGACCTCTAAAGTTCTCTGTTGCCAGGCTAAAGTTCTCTGTGGGGTTCCCCAGCCTCTGGTTAGGAACCCTTGAGGTCGTGAGAAAAGCCTGGGCCTCCCAGTCAGCCAGTTGTGGTTTGAATCCTTGTTCTTCAGTCCAGAACTGCAAGGAAAGACTACCTTCCTTCTCTGACATCCATTTTCTCTTCTTTAAAATCAGCACTGAAGAGCCCAGAAGCTATCTTTTTCTCCAAGAAATAAAAAAAAAAAAAAAAAAAAAAAAGAAAACAAAGTAAGGGAGATAGTATAAACTGGTAGTTATAGTCTCTGGAGTCAGAGCAAGATTTGAATCCTGGCCCTACCACTTGCACAGTCTGTGTCTTCCGGCAAGTTACTTAACCTCGTTGTACCCTTGTTTCCTCATCTGTGAAATGGAAATTAAAATACATACGTAGCTTATAGGGTTGCTGTGAAGATTAAACGTGAGGTATTGAACCTGCATGTAATATATTGAACCATGAGGTATTGAACCTGCATGTAATATATAATAACAATACAGAAATATTAATGGGAGAAATAGTAAGCAAAATGTATTTGATGGAATACTGAAACAGTGTCATAGAAAGATAGCCATGAGTACATAAGAATACACTGATTTTACAAGAGATAAATTAGAATAACAAGAAAGTTGTGTGGCATGTATGGAAGGTACAGCATATTCCAACCCGTGAATAATGAGTATTCTCAAAGGAAGGCAGGGTAAGTAGAAGAGAGTAACAACAGTTAGAACAATAACAAAGGTGTTTGGAAAGGGTTAAGATTTCCCTGTTTCCGAGGGAAACTAGTCAGCAGAAAATCAGCACTGACATGATCTCATAAAATAACTAAAGTTGAGTTCTTCACCTACCCGGTTTATATGTATGAAGTGTTGATGTTGTTTGAGGCACTGTGCACTGGGGGTACAGTGGTGAACAGTGTCCCCCTGGTGCCAGCCTTCGTGGCGCCGATGTCCCTGTGTGGCGGGCCGATAAGGAAGAACCTATAGACATGAGGGTGATCATGAATGCTATGACGGAAACTAACAAAGGGCAGAGATGGGAATACCATAGATCTGGCTGCGAAGGGCTGCTCATGGAGCTGAATTAGGGAGTTAGGAAGTTACTGTAGTAGTCGAGGTTGAGAGATAATGGGTGGCCAGCAGAGATAATGAGAAATGGATGGATTTGAGATATAGCTTAGACAGACCAGTTCTATAGAAGAAATAGAGAAAATTATTCAAAATTAGTTTAAAAATTATACAAAAATGTTGCCAGGCTCACATCGTTTCACAGGAGAATTCTACCAAGAGACCAGATAGTTCCAGTGCTCTGAAAATTCTTCTAGAATATTGAAGAAGGAAACTTCCTAATTCCTTTTATGAAGTAAGACACTGACACCTAAACCAAAGAAAGACATTGCAAATAAGAATACAGACTAGTATTGTACATGCATACAAAGTCTAAACAAAATATTAGTAAACCAAATCTAACACTACCTTAAAGAAATAATGACCAAGTGAGATTTTTTCCAGAAATGGAAAGATGTGTTTCAATATTAGAAGATCTATGACTATCATATACCATATTAATAAATGGAAAGAAAAATTGTATGATTATTTCCATAAATATTGACAAAATTGAGCACCCCTTTATCATAAGAAGCTCTCCAGGAAGTGGAGTTGAGGGATACTTTCTCCTTCAGGATCAATAAATATAATATCAATACAGTGGTAACAGTTACAATACAGTTGATACTGTGTCACTAAAATGGATGTATTTAGTCCTAATGCCAGTATTTTATTTAATGGAGAAACACTAGAGGCATTTCCACTAAAATCCGGAACAAGGTAAGGATGTACACTATTTCTGCTGCTCGTTGCTCGTTATCATGATACTGGAGTTATCAACCAATACAACTAGACAAGCAGAGGTATCTGGATGGGTGAAGAAGAGTAAAAACTATATGTGCAAATGCTTTGATAACATATCAGAAACACTCCAGGGAACCAAAGAATCAATTCAAATGATAAAGGAATTCAGTGGTGCAACAGGATACTAAAATTAATGTTGAAACCGTCACTAGCCTTCCATACACAAACACTGAACAGAGGACATGATGGTAGGGCAAAAGTCATTGGTGAAAGCAAAAAAGAAGATACTTCGGAATACATTTAACAAGAAATTTTCAAAGCCTATATAAGGAAAAAAATTTAAACACTCCGGAAAGAAAGAAAGACAAGAAGAAATGGAAGCACAACATTCCCTGTTCCTGAATAAGGTGACTCAACATTATAATGGTATCCGGTCTCCATAAGTGAATTTATAAATTCAGGGCCGTCTCAATAACAATATTGGGAAGCCATGCTATGGCATATACAACTTGATACTAACCTTCATATGGAAAAACAAACATGCAGGAATATTCAGGAAAACATTCAAAAAGAAAAAGCACAAGGGACCATGCTTACGAGACAGGCATTAAACTGTAAAGCCTCTATAATTAAAACAGTGTGATACTGGTACATAAATAGACAAATCGACCCGTGGAATAGAACAGGAAGATCAGAATTAGACCTGTATACATATAATTTAGTATATGACAAAGATGTTATCTGAGATCACTGAGGTAAAGGTAAACTTTTTAATAAATGGTGGTGAGGCAACTGGGTAGCCATTTCGAAAAAAGACAAAATTAGAACAGTATCTCACACAAAATAGAAGAATAAACTCCAAATGGATTAAAAATCTAAATATAAAAAATATAACCATTCAGTTACTAGAAGGAAACATGGATGAATTTCTCTATCATCTTGATGTAGGGAACACTTTCTTATTATTTCTCAGAATTCGGAAGCAGTTAAAGAAAAAAAAGACAGATAAATTTGACTGTAGAAAAATAAAATTTTGCATGCCCAGAAGCACCATTAACAAAGCCAAAGGACAATCGGCAGACTTGGAGAGAATATTTGCAACATACACCTAGACGAAAGGCTAATATTCCTAGTATAGGGAGAACTCTTACAAATTGAGTGACAAAGGACCTGATAGGAAAATGGGAAAAAGACCTGAGTCATTCAAATTAAAACTACACAGAAATTTTATTTCTTACTATCAGATTGGCAAAAATTTAAAAATATGATAACACATGCTGTTGATGAAGCTGTGGGAAAACAGGCCCTCTGACACATTGCTGCAGGCAATGAGAATTGCTGCAGTTTCTGGAGAGATATTTGGTGATACAAAATTACAAAGTACGTATGTACTCAGCTTTCAACCCAGCAAGCCTACTTGTAGGAATCTGTCCTAAAGATACGATTATAACAACATGAGGCAGTATTTGTAATTGCAAGAGGGAAAAATTGGAATGCCTGTACATAGTAGAATGGTTGATTAAATTGTGTTACATTTCCACAGTGGAATACTATGCATAACTAAATTATTTTTATTATTATATTTTATTTAAAAATTAAAATTTTTAAAAAAAATATTTATTTATTTTTGAGAGAGAGAGAGAGAGAGAGAGAGAGAGTGAGCATGAACGGGGGAGGGGCAGAGAGAGAGGGAGACACAGAATCTGAAGCAGCCTCCAGGCTCTGAGCTGTCAGCACAGAGCCTGACAAGGGGCTTGGACCCATGAACTGTGAGATCGTGACCTGAACCGAAGTCAGGTATTTAACTGACTGAGCCATCCAGGTGCCCCTTAAAAAAAAAATTCTTTTTAACGTTTATTCAGTTTTGAGATAGAGACAGAGCATGAGTGGGGAGGGGCAGAGAGGGAGACAGAATCATTCTCTGAGCTGTCAGCACAGAGCCCTATTTGGGGCTTGAACCCATGAACCGTGAAATCATGAGCTGAGATGAAGTAGGATGCTTAACTGACTGAGCCACCCAGGTGCCCCATTATTTTTTTCTTTTCTTTTCTTTTCTTTTCTTTTCTTTTCTTTTCTTTTCTTTTCTTTTCTTTCTTTTCTTTTCTTTTCTCTTTTCTTTTCTTTTCTTTTCTTTTCTTTCTTTTCT